CACCAGCTGTGTGACTTCTGCCTCTCTGAGCCTCAGTTTCCTCATCTGTAAAATGGGTGAAGTGGATTAGTAGATCTCTTAGACCCCTCCAAGTTCTAACATCTGATGATTGGGAATGAGATTTAGAATCTTATTTATCAAGTTCTTTGGAATTTCTTATCCCCCACCCCAAACACACATCTGGATGGAAACTTCAGAGAAATTCTGAAGCCTTTGGGGTCCCACTGCTCCTAGGACATTATGGAATGTTTCAGAAGTTCATAAGAAGATTCTCTATGTTGGTCATATAAAAAAAATTAGGTTTTTGAGATTTGGCTATAACATCAGAGACTATGGGTCTGTTGCATGCACACAGAGTGCGGAAGAGGGTGTTTTAGAACTGCCCAGAGAACCCCAAAGGATAAGCTTTACTCTTACCTATATTAATGTCCTTACCTGCTCTCTTTCCATTGGCAAAAATTTACATTTGCTTAGCTATGTATAGGCAAAGATTAACTTTCTTCTTTGTAAAGTACTGAGTGTTCAGTTAGGAGCCTTGAACATTTTCACAATAAAAGTAATCCAAGGATGTAATGGTAACTCATTCTCAGTCAGAATCACCTAGTAAAATTATCTAAATTGTCACCTAATATTTCCATAGGCCACATATTTACTATGCCTAGGAGACACTGGCTATCTTATCAAATTTAGTGTAAATTTTTTTTTTAAAGGGCCAGGTGCAGTGGCTTACACCTGTAATCCCAGCACTTTGGGAAGCTGAGATGGACGGATCACAAGGTCAGGAGTTCAAGACCAGCCTGGTCAACGTGGTGAAACCCTGTCTCTACTAAAAATACAAAAATTAGCTGGGCATGGTGACGGGCACTTATAATCCAAGCCACTTGGGAGGCTGAGGCAGGAGAATCACTTGAACCTGGGAGGTGGAGTTTATAGTGAGCCGAGACAGTGCCTCTGCACTCCAGCCTGGGTGACAGACCTAGACTCTGACTCAAAAAAAAAAAAAAAAAAAAAAAAAAAGTCTCTGCCTTTATTCTATGTTCATTGAAGTCAAAGTAATCTTTTTTTTTTTTTTCTTTTTCTTTTTTTTTTCTGACTGCCTTGGCCTCCCGAAGTGCTGGGATTACAGGTGTGACCCACCACAACGGCACAATCTCAGCCCACTGCAACCTCCACAGATGACTTCAGAAACCTGAAATCATCAGAGATCAGAAAGATTTTGTGGTTGTAATCAAAATCATACTCAAATGCTTAGTCATGAAACATAAGCCTTGATCTATATTTAGGGGAATTTGATGATCTGTTGATAATCTCTAAGAGCCAGAAGATTTTTCTATTATGTAGGAAAAGCAGGGACAACACAATTTCAAAAGCATGAAGTTAATCTCAACTGAAAAAAAAAGGAAAGAAATAGGTCAGGTGCGGTGGCTCATGCCTGTAATCCCAGCATTTTGGGAGGCCTAGATGGGCAGATCACTTGAGGTCAGGAGTTTGAGACCAGCCTAGCCAACAGGGTGAAATCTTGTCTCTACCAAAAAATACAAAAATTAGCTGGTGTGGTAGCCCACACCTTATAGCCCCTGCTACGTGGGAGGCCAAGGCACAAGAATTGCTTGAACCTGGGAGGCGGAGGTTGCAGTGAGCCAAGATCGAATCACTGTACTCCAGCCTTGTGACAGGGTGAAACCCTGTCTCAAAAAAGAAAAAAGAGGCCGGGCGCGGTGGCTCACGCCTGTGATCCCAGCACTTTGGGAGGCCGAGGCGGGTGGATCACAAGGGCGAGAGATCGAGACCATCCTGGTCAACATGGTGAAACCCCGTCTCCACTAAAAATACAAAAAAAAAAAAAAAAAAAAAAAAAAAAAAATTAGCTGGGCATGGTGGCACGTGCCTGTAATCCCAGCTACTCAGGAGGCTGAGGCAGGAGAATTGCCTGAACCCAGGAGGTGGAGGTTGCGGTGAGCCGAGATCGCGCCATTGCACTTCAGCCTGGGTAACAAGAGCAAAACTCTGTCTCAAAAAAAAAAAAAAAAAAAAAAAAGAAAAAAGAAATAAAGCCAATTGGGTGCATTGTTCAGCTGAAAATAAATACTATAAAAGACAGCATTATGCAAAGTGACAGACGTTGCCTATGCCTAAGGGGAGAAACTTTAAAAATGGAATCAATTGACAGGCATCTAGATGTGTCAGGTTTATCAGATGTGGGCACAGAGGGTGACTTATTGTGGAACTAACTTGAAGGCATTTATCTTCCTCCCCATTTAAAAAATATTTCAACCCAATTGTAAATTTTAGACTTCATCTTCCTAGACAGACATATTATACTTTCCCCTCCCCACTCCCCTTTTTTTTTGAGATCAAGATCTCACTCTGTCGCCCAGGCAGCAGTGCAGTGGTGCAATCTCGGGTCACTGCAACATACACCTCCCCGGTTCAAGTGATTCTCCTGCCTCAGCCTCTTGAGTAGCTGGGACTATAGGCCCGGGCCACCATGCCCGGCTAATTTTTTGTATTTTTGGTAGAGACGGGATTTCATCATGTGAGCCAGGATGGTCTTGATCTCTGACCTCGTGAACTGCCTGCCTCGGCCTCCCAAAGTGCTAGGATTACAGGCGTGAGCCACCACACCCGACCAACATATTATACTTTTTAAGAAATGCATCCTATTACATTTATTTAGAATTAGGAATAATGGGCCGGGCGCGGTGGCTCAAGCCTGTAATCCCAGCACTTTGGGAGGCCGAGGCGGGTGGATCACGAGGTCAAGAGATCGAGACCATCCTGGTCAACATGGTGAAACCCCGTCTCTACTAAAAATACAAAAAACTAGCTGGGCGTGGTGGCGCGTGCCTGTAATCCCAGCTACTCAGGAGGCTGAGGCAGGAGAATTGCCTGAACCCAGGAGGCGGAGGTTGCGGTGAGCCAAGATGGCGCCATTGCACTCCAGCCTGGGTAACAAGAGCGAAACTCCGTCTCAAAAAAAAAAAAAAAAGAATTAGGAATAATGGGTACGTTTGACTGGCCTTCCTGTTATCAGACGTCAGCTGTGTGGTTCTTAAGGGGTTCCATTTTATAACTAGTGTTTCTCAATGTTCTTAAACTTACACTCTCCCAACTGAGATTTGTTCTCACCTTTCTATAGTTTGCAGCTCAAAAACAACAGGGGCCAGGAGCAGGGGCATGCACCTTCAATCCCAGGTACTCAGGAGGCTGAGTGGGGAGGATTACTTGAGCCTGGGTGCCCAGGGATTCAAGACCAGCCTGGACAACGTGTCAAGACCGTCATCTCAAATAGCAATAGAGTTTTATTCTCAAATATGAAATGATATCACTGAATATATTCTTTTTCAACTACCCTCTCATTTGGAGCTCGCTTCTGACTGGGAAGTAGTGACTTCTGGAAAATTATTCTAATTTTGCAATATCCATGAGTACAGCATCATAACCATTGTTCAAAACGGAACACTCCAATGCCTCCTAAAATACGATCCATCTGTGTTTGCTTTATATTTATCTTCAATAATTGAGAAACGAACACCCACTTCTGGGTGAGGGGTGATGGTGAGGCTGAAGACAGTGTTTCCTTTCTGTTTCAGCGCACACCCCAGGCCCAGTGCTACAGGAAAAAACAAAATTCCAAGAAAGGATTGGGAAGGCCGCTTTTCATGTGACTGCTGCCTGCCTGTCAGCGCCAGCCTTTCCTGACTAATTACAATTGGGTGAAAGCACATTAGAAACCCACAGAACTGACTGGCGGAAGGGGGAAGCTTGTGTTCTCCATCAGTGTATTCCTCAACCTAATCACTGGTTAGTCTTGCAGCGGAGCTAATAAACAGCGACTGTTTCAGAGAAAGCAAACTGAGACATGCTATTTATTGAACGCTCTTTTGTATCTTCCTTGGTGCGGGGTGTTTTTCCAATTAACCATTTAATCTTCACAAGCCCTTCGTATTCTTATTTAGTAGATAAAGAGCTAGACACTCATTTGGAGGGGAGAAGAGGAGGACCAGAGTTCAGAAAGCTCATTCGATGCTCTGAACGCTGGAGGCTGCAGCTAGGAGTTCAGCTCCCTGGAGAATAGCTTTTGGGAATCCCGTTTGAAATTGCCGCTCACGGCCAGTTGGCTTTCAGCCCAGGAACTGGAAGGAGGGTTCTGGAGAATCCCCTTGGGGGGAAATGCTTAAAAGTGCAAAGTGCATCTAACAGTAGGAGCCTCTCTCTCGGTCACTAGGCGCGCATCTGCTGTTCGCTTCCCAGCCGCCCCTCAAGCACAAGCATCAGGGAGAAGAACCCGAGCCGCCCCCCACGTGCTGAGGGCCGCCCCCCGCGTCGTCTCGGGAACAAGGGCGGGGCGCCGGCGGGAGCGGCGGAGGGCTGCCCGCCGCCGACGCTTTGTCTTCCACCCCCCGCAGCGAGCACGAGGCCGCGGCGCGCCCAGGCCGCTCACATTGTGCCCACGGCGGGCGCCAGCCATGAGCCCTCTCTTCTAGCAGGATTAAAGGGAACAAGTGGCTGGCAGAGGGGCCCTAGGAACTCCTGGGCGAGGCCCGGGCCCGCGGGTCTCCACCCGCAGGGGTTTTGGAGCCGGGCCGTGCCCGCGCTGGCTGGGCGCTGCGTCCCCGGGAGGGACGAGGGAGCAACCTCGGCGGGCCCCTGCGGGCCAGTTGCTATGGCAACGCTCCTCGCCCGGCTCGGAGAGGCCGGGAGGGAGGCGGGCCCTGGCGGACGTCACCCAGACTCGGCCTCGGGGAGCCGCCCCACCCCTAATTGTTTGCCAGATAGATGCTTTGGAAGTGAGGACTCTAGGGGGCCCCATTCGAACCGAAAGCCCCGACAGCCTCTTTCCCGGTCAACGTTTTTAACCGTCCTTCAAAGCCAGGAGGAGGGGCGTGGTAATTCGGGGGGTTTGTTCGGAAGAGCACCGCCATTTCCCCAGCCTTCGGATTGTTCCAGGCCGCGCCCACGGTGGGGGGGTCTAGTTCTAGGCCACGCCCCTTCCTTGTTCGCGCGGAAAGAGGACCAAAATGGAGGAGTAGGGATCTTGATTAAACGGAGCGGGCGCAGCGAATCTGGCGAAGAGAACCGCGGGAGGGCGGTCTTCCGCCAGCGTGCTGGGGGCCGCCGCGCCTCACCTCTTCGGCGGCGCCCTGTGGGTTCTGCGGCTGCGCGCTGCTTTCACCGGCAGAGCGAACCCGCACGGAGTCGCAGGGGCGCGCAAAGGGGGAGGAGCGGGCATGACCAGGCGCGCGCGCGTCTGCGGTGACTCTAGGGAGCAGGCGAGTCGGGCGGATCGGGTGGGTAGAGTGGTGCCGTCCCGTTGTTTGGTGGGAGGTGCGTAAGGCCGCTCTGGGCGCTGTGGCGCCCATGTCGCTGGTTCGTTCGGTTCTAGGAGCGGATCCGGGGTAGAGGGAGGAGAGCTCCGGGTCAAGGACCGCCGCCGCCGCCGTCGGGGAGTCGGCCCGCCCGCCCGCCCGCCCGCCAGCCCGCCCGCCAGCCCGCCGGCGCCTCGCGTGCCCTGCCGGTCACGGTAAGCAGGCCTGCGCTGGCCGGAAAGTGGAGCGTGAGATGAGAGCGTGTGAGAGACCATCGGGGGTCTGTAGGGGGAAGGGGAGCGGGGGGCATGGGGCAGGGGCGGGGTGTGTGAGGAGGAGGGGAAGCCCCGCCGAGAGTGGTGATAGTCATGGCTGCCGCCACACGGTGATGTTCCAGTGATACGGACGCGGACTTGACAGAGCACCTCATACGCTTCATTTTAACTTGTATTCCAGTCCTCCGAGGTGCGCGCTAGGATCCAACCCACTTTATCAGACAGGAAAACCGAGGCGCGAAATCGGTTCAGTGGCTCATGCAAGAACACACAACGGCTACGTGGCCCGGCCTGGCTTCCAACTTAGTTCTTTTAGTCCTCAGGCCCGTCATCTTAACTTTGCTTTGCCAAGCACAACAAAGAAAAATGGAGTATCAGAAGGAGGAGGACAGAGTGTGGTTTGAAGGGGAAAGATGGTGATACACGGGAAGAGAATGATGATGGGAGACCGAGTCGCGGAGGGGACCTGAATTTGGAACCCTGCGGGCCTCCCCCTTCTAACTCGCCTCCCCCTCCTTAGTTCTTGCGGTCCCGCAACTTTTTCTTGCTGTTTATTGCTTTAGGAGTGGAGGAGCCAACTCACAGAGCTGGGCCATTAGGGTGGTTTTGAGAAGTCTGAACTGCGCTTCAGTCCAGGGCAGTGCCTTGAGACAGCGTTTCGGGTAGGGGAGAGTCAGAGGATGGTGGCAGCCTAGTTTGCAGAGGACCCTCTTAAACGCCGCTATTTATTTCTTCAGACGTGCCGCTTCCTTTTCTATCTCATTTACACACGGCAAAGTCTTTGTTCAGTCCTCTAGAATAGGGAAGTGATGTTTATTGTTTCCTTGTACACTTGGGCTTAAACAAACAAAATCAGAGTCTACATTTCTTTTTCCGAGCAAGGCCTTGATTGCTTGCAGAGAAAACTTTCCGGTGGCTTTATCATTAGTTGCCCTTCAGAGCTTTCCTGTGTAAATAAGGAGCTATATGTTTTGGAGAAAGTTTACACTGTAGGTCAACGGGAGCGATCTGAACATATTGCACTGCAGGTCAGCACAGGGCAGGGACTTAAGTAATTCATACGGGTGTGTGTGTATTTGTGAAAAACCTTTCCCTCTTGCACAGTTTCCTCTGTAGCTCATGTGAGAGTCAGGTTTTTAAGTCAGCCTGTGAGGCAAACATTGTATGCGATAGAACTCCTTAAACATTCCTTAGGAAGGTGCAAGTTTGAGATTAGCATCGTGTTTCTGACTACATCTTGGACGATTTTTCCTTCAGTTTTGAAACTTATTACTGTTGCTTTGGTTGTACCCCGGATAAAGTAGTTAGGTTACCTTTAGGAGCTGTGTTGTGCAAATAATCATGTTTGAAAGGCATACAGTTGAGACGCTCTGTGAGATACTTGCACTGAGGAGGCTTAAAAGGAGGAAGACAAACCAAGGGAACGGTGTGTTTGTGATTTCTTATCTTAGGCTTATTTTGGAGCATGTGCTTACAAAGTGGAAAGTGGCAGGCAGAATTGCTGGTATGATGATGATGATTTTTTTTTTTTTTTTTTGAGACATGGTGTTGCTCAGTTGCTGATGCTGGAAGGCAGTGGCCTAATCATAGCTCACTGCTGCAGCCTCGACTTCCTGGGGCTCAAGTGATCCTCCCAGCTCAGTCTCCTGAGTAGTTGGGACTGCAGGCACACACCGCCACTTTTTGTAGAGATGGGGTCTCACTTTGTTGCCCAGGCTGGTCCTGAACTCCTGGGCTCAATTGATCCCCTTGCCTCAGCCTCTCAAAGTGCTGGGATTACAGGCATGAGACATTGCCCTGGTCCTGTTGGTATTATTTAAGTTGCTATTTTATCTTTTTGGTTTTTTTGAGACAGAGTTTTGCTCTTGTTACCCAGGCTGGAGTGCAATGCCGCGATCTCGGCTCACTGCAACCTCCACCTCCTGGGTTCAGGCAATTCTCCTGCCTCAGCCTCCTGATTAGCTGGGATTACAGGCACGCGCCACCATGCCCAGCTAATTTTTTGTATTTTTAGTAGAGATGGGGTTTCACCATGTTGACCAGGATGGTCTCGATCTCTTAACCTCGCGTGATGCACCCCGCTCGGCCTCCCAAAGTGCTGGGATTATAGGCGTGAGCCACCGTGCCCGGTCTTATCTTTTTTTTTTTTTTTTTTTTTTTTCCTGAGATGGAGTCTCACTCTGTTGCCCCGGCTGGAGCACAATGGCACCATCTGAGCTCACTGCAACCTCTGCCTCCCGGGTTCAAGCGATTCTCCTGCCTCAGCCTCCTGAGTAACTGGGATTACAGGTGCCCGCCACTACGCCCAGCAAATTTTTTGTATTTTCAGTAGATACGGGGCTTCACCATGTTGGCCAGGCTGGTCTTGAACTCCTGACCTCGTGATTCAGCCGCCTTGGCCTCCCAAAGTGCTGGGATTACAGGTGTGAGCCACCGCGCTGGCCTCTTCTTTTTCTTTTCCTTTGGCCACCATATGCAGTAATTTGACTTGTTAAATTAAATGTACACAGTGTGATTCCTCTTTAATTTTTGAGTGACACCACATTCAGGGGCTTGCAAGCTATTACTTCCCCACAGATCCTAGCTAACTTTGGAGCAAAAATGGGTTACATATTTTTGCCAGTTGTCTGGCTTTTGCGGTCCTCATATATATGCCACATATGTATAACAGTGGTTAGCTTTTTAAAATCCAATTCTATTTATGAGAGAATAAAATGGAATCCTTTTGCTTTTATGGAAACATCTCAAAACTCCAGGATTGATACACCCACTTCCTCCAGAGTAGTTTATGGTTGTGTTTGAAATGATACCAAAAGGAAGGATATTATTTCAGTTAGGAAAATAAGGAATTGTCCCCAAGTTAACATTATATGGGTATAGGAAATGGTTTTACAGCCTTTGCAGGGGAGAAATCTTAAGATTAGGAATCTAAAATTCTGAGTCCCAACATTTTCTGAATTATGGTCAGATAGTGGAATTTACAGCATATTCATTCCAAACTTCTCTCTTTTCCTGATCTTTGTTGTTCTTTTGGAAGCCTTTAATAGAACAAAAACAAGAGAAGAAATGTATTCTGGCTTTAAGAAGTTTCCATTGTTTTTGGATACCACATAGTCTACCTAAGTTTAATTACTATCATTACAGAGAAAAATCTGTAAAGTATAGGATACTTTGAATAAATGGAATCTTCAAAGGTTGCTGGCAAACCAACAGTTTGATTTCTCAGAAGGTTCTTAGAGAAACGATGACACTTTATGCCAATTTTGTTTTCCTCCAGATTCTCATTGTTGCATCTGCGAATCTTGAAAGTAGGAAGCACAGATTTTCTTTGCTCTGTCCTTTAACCACTCACATTCGTTTTACTGTTTCTAGGACATGTTCTTTAAATGTATACATTAGATCCCACTATTATGTTGCAGATCCATGTGGTGGGCTTGCCTTAGAAGTACATGCCTTTATGATAAGCTCTTTTATTTATTTATTTGGTATTTTTGTAACCAAGCCTCTTAAGTTTTTTTGCCATAATAATAACAGCATTATTCAGGGACCCAATTATGTTGAATTTTTTCTCACAGAATACTTTCCCCTCCCTAATTTTTATCCTGGAAAATACACCAAAAATAAACATTCTGTTTCTGGTTCAATGATTTATACTTGCCATCTTTAGTCCTACTGTTGAATTGCTGCATAGTTTCTTTTTAATTTATGTGTTTAAAAGTAAGTACTGGCTGGGCGCAATAGCTGGCTCACACCTGTAATCGCAGCACTTTGGGAGGAGGCGGGTGGATCAAGAGGTCAGGAATTCAAGACCAGCCTGGCCAATATGGTGAAACCCCGTCTCTACTAAAAATACAAAAGTTAGCTGGGTGTGGTGGTGTGCACCTGTAGTCCCAGCTACTTAGGAGGCGGAGGCAGGAGAAGCACTTGAAACTGGGAGGCAGAGGGTGCAGTGAGCTAAGAGTACACCATTGCACCCCAGCATGGGCAACAGAGCGAGACTCCATCTCAAAAAAAAAAAAAGTAAATACTCAAATTCTGATTTTCGTTGTGGTTTTGGGGTTCAAATTAGCAAGTGGGATTGTTTATTACTACTTAAATCCCTCACTTCATGCTCTGTTCGCACAAATCTAAAGAGGCACTGGTATATCTAAAGAGGTACTGGTATTGTTAATTGCCTCTAGTTGTATTTGACTTTTGGATTCTGGAGAAGAAGAATTTCCTTTTGTGGGATGGGGGAAGAATCCCTTGCCTGTATTCATCATATGGATACGAAGGCTGGAGTGTGGGAGTTTAGATCCGTATTCTTTCAGGCTTTCAGAGATCATTGAAAATAGCTAAGATGATTCCTTTAGGACTGTTTTCATGATTTGGTCTCTGTGTAAAGTGAAGTGAAAGTCCAGGATCAGGGCGTATTTCTGGTAACTGGGGGTTATTTTAGTCGTTGGATAGTCTACAGAGGGCTGAACAACTAGTTCAGGGTAGTGGTTTCACTTCTGTGGCAGAGGACTGCTTGGGCAGAAGTTTTAGTAGCCAGTTTCTTCAAGAAAGAACTGTGTGTGCGTGTGTGTGTCAAAGTTTCCCCATCGTACAAAAAATATAATGATTTTAATGTTTTAAACTAATGAAGTGATTATAAAATATTTTGATGTATTTGTTTTGTTGACATCTTACGTGTGTGTAAACTTACATGATTTTAAAATGTTTTAAAATCTAGATCAGGTCAAACATTGTCTGGCTTGCACTCTAAAACTAGTTAGCTGAAGACGACTTCTCAGGTTTCTTCAGGATGCCGGCAGCACTTGTGGAGAATAGCCAGGTTATCTGTGAAGTGTGGGCCAGTAATCTAGAAGAAGAGATGAGGAAGATCCGAGAAATCGTGCTCAGTTACAGTTATATTGCCATGGTAAGGCGCTCTACTCTGTTTGACTCACCTTCTTTGTTACTTTTAGAGATGGGGTCTTGCTCTTTGGCCCAGGCCGGAGTGCAGTGGCTATTCAAAGATGCAGTCATAGCTCACTGCAGCCTTCAACTCCTGGACTCAAGCAGTCCTCCCACCTTACCCTCCCAGGTTGCTGGGACTACAGGCTCATAACACCATGCCCCAGCTTCACTCACCTTCTTATATGGGTTTAGGGAATGTTTAATTTGAGATTTTGAAAAGAATGAGTATATTCCACTAAAGCCATTGTAAATTAAACCTGATGGAAGGTTGTCTTGCTTTGTGAAATATCAAGGTAGTCAGTAGTAGTCTCTGAGTAGGATGTAACTTCTAGTATCTTAGAAGTCTCTAAGAAGGATATAACTTCTAGTGTCTTAGATTTTTTGTAACATTACTCTGTTTGAAAGTCTTTAAAGCAGAAGTTATGTCAATCCCTAGGGCACATCTGTTCCACAGATATGGTGAATTTGACTGTCAATGTTTATTCAAAATTGAAAAAAATTGTTGCCAGTATTTTAAAGTCAGTAGATCTTACTTAAATTCCAGATTGTTCTGGCAATATATGGTATACACCCCTGCCTGATACCGCCTGGAGAGGGAGAGATGAGTATTGTGGTAATATTAAGGGCCTCCTGTAGAGGGCCATGTGCTCTCTGTTTTATTCCAATCTGCATTGCTTGTACCATTTTCATACCTCGCTCACTTTACTCCTTTACATTAGCTGCTTGGAGTTTGTGACTCCTGCTTTAGAGATTATAGAGTTAAGTCTTTAGCTTGGAATTCAGAGCTCCTTCATCTTTTCACTCAAGCTAAGCCTGTCTCTTTATATTTTTTTCTGAATGGATGTTTCACTTCCCTGTATTTGTATTCTTATTCATATATTGTTCTCAACCTAGAATGTTCTTAATTGACTGCCTATCTACCTGTAGTTACTCAACTATTTCTATTGACATTCTGCTTATTTAAGATCAACTTGTTGTGCAAAGCTTCATGATTCTAATGTTTCTTCAGTAGATATCAACAAGATCAGTATTTTAAGATAGAATTTTTGCCAGGCATGGTGGCTGATGCCTGTAGTCTGTGCACTTTGGGAGGTCGAGGCAGGTGGATCACTTGAGACCAGCCTGGGCAACATGGTGAAACTCCATCTCTACAAAAAATACAATAATTAGCTGGGTGTGGTGGCGTGAGCTTGTAGTTCCAGCTACTAGAGAGGCTGAGGTGGGAGGATTGATTGTACCTGTGAGGTAGAGGCTGTAGGGAGCTGTGATTGTGCCACTGCACTCCAGCTTGGGTGACAGACAGAACAACCCTATCTAAAAAATAAAAAAAATAATAATTTTGTACCCAAGTTTGGGGCTTGTCACATAACTTTTATAAATGGAGGTAAAATTGTATTTATGAATTATCAATTCAGCATCCACTGTTTTGTGAAACCTTGTGATGAGAGACTTTTCCGTTTGCAGGACACAGAATTTCCAGGAGTTGTGGTGCGGCCAATTGGTGAATTTCGTAGTTCCATAGATTACCAGTATCAGCTTCTGCGGTGTAATGTTGACCTTTTAAAAATTATCCAGCTGGGCCTTACATTCACAAATGAGAAGGGAGAATATCCTTCTGGAATCAATACTTGGCAGTTCAACTTCAAATTTAACCTTACGTAAGTGATTTCTGAATAAAATTTTAAGTTTTGTTTTCACTGAATCCAGGTATGTGTTGGATAGAACAGTCAAGCAGAGGATGGAATAGGGAATGCCAACAAGTGAAGCCCTGCTTAAAGAGCTGCGGCAGTTCAGCAATGAAAAGATAAACAACCCAACTAAAATGGGCAAAAGATCTGAATAGACTTTTCTTGAAAGATAATGTACAGCTGGCCAATAAGCACATGAAAAGATGCTCAACATCAGTAGTCATGAAGGAAATGCAAATTAAACCCACATTGGGATACCACTTCATACCCCCTAGAAGGGCTACAGTCAAAAAGACATAATAAGTGTTGTTGAGGGTGTAGAGAAAATTGGAACCTTCATACATTGCTGCTGGGAATGTAGAATTTTGGGGGAAGTTTTGGAAAATAGTTTTGTAGTTCCTGAAAAGGTTAAACATAGAGTTGCCATATGACCTAGCCATTCCACTCCTAGGCAGTGGAATATTCCATGGTCTGTATATACCACATTTTGTTTATTCATCTGTTGATGGACACTTGGGTTTCTTCTACCTCTTGGCTGCTGTAGATATTGCTGCTATGAACATGGGTGTGCAAATTTCTTCAAGGTCTTACCTTCAGTTATTTGGGATGTATATCCAGGAATTTTAAAAGAAAATTTGGGGGAGACTTACCACTTTGCTGATTGCATAAAGTGGTGTTACTGTATTTCCTATCAGAACCTGCTTTGGTTAACTGGGCATCAGGAGTGTTTCATAACTTACGGGTAATTTTTTTTTCTGTCAAGACAGGGTCTCGCTTTGTTACCCAGGCTAGAGTGCAGTGGTGTGAACACGGCTCACTGCAGCCTCAATCTCCCAAGCTCAAGCAGTCCTCACACATCAGCATCAGCCCCCTGAGTAGCTGGGACTACAGGTTGCATGCCACCACACTTGGCTAATTTTTTGTAGAAAGTGATCAGCCCGCTTTGGCCTCCCAAAGTGTTGAGATTACAGGCGTGAGCTACTCTGCCTGGCAGGAGTAATTTTTTTTATTGTTGTTCATGTGTTTTGGAAATTTCCTTGAGGTTCAAGTAATTTGGGGAGATGATCTGGATCTGTCCTTTAACTGCAATTTTTAGTTTATTGTCAAAGCCTGTAGTTTGTACCATAAAAATAAAATAATACAAGGAAGAAAAATGAATAGTTTCACTGAGGGGTTTGAGTATGTATGTGTTTAAAATAATGTTTACTTGTGGCCAGGTGCGGTGGCCCACGCCTGTAATTCCAGCACTCTTGGGACACCAAGGTGGGTGGATCACTTGAGGCCATGAGTTCAAGACCAGCCTGGGCAACATAGTGAAACCCCATCTTAATTAAAAATATAAAAATTAGCTTGACATGGTGGTGGGTGCCTGTAATCCCAGCTACTCGGAGGCTGAGGTGGGAGGGTCACTTTAACCTGGGAGGCAGAGGCTGCAGTGAGTTGAGATTGTGCCACTGCACTGCAGCCTAGGTGACAGAGTGAGACTCTGCCTCAAAATAATAATAATAATAATAATAATAATAATGATGATGATGATGATGTTGAGATTGAAGCCTAGTCATAAAAAAAAAGTTTACTTGAGATCGAAGCCTAAACAAAACAATAAAATAATGTTTATTTACATGGAAAAGAAACTTGTGATTCAATACTGGTTTTAGGGGGGAAAAAAATCGAGATTATAGTGGTTTTCTTATTGTCTAACCCAAGTTTATATGAAAAGCAAGAAAGTCTAGTGGAACAGGAGTTGTTTAGCTTATTTCCTTACTTTTGTGTTACGTGGTATTATAAATAATTCCTGTGGTTGAACTAATGGACATATCTTTACAGTGGAATATTATGCCAGTGTTACAATGGAGGAATATTGATCTGTAGAGTTGTAAGGGATGTGTATGTGTAGATAGAGAAAATAGTCTGGAAAGATCTGTAAATGGAGGTGTTAGTAATCTATCTGTGGGGTAGTATTATAAACATTAATTTTTTCAATTTTTTTCATGACAAAGAGTCTTTTAGATAATTAACTGTATACCAAGTAATAATATGTAACAAATAATATTTAATTTTGTCATCTAGTAATTTTGATTAAGAGAAACTAGAAGTAGCTCAAACAATTGCACTAGTATTCATTGTTTGAACCATTAGCAGGAATAGACTACTTTAAGTCTGGCTGCTGCTTCACGTAGGTTACTTTAGATTACTATTTACAACTTTTTCATAGATAAAGCCCCTGACCTTCATGGAAGCATCGGGAGGAAAAAAATTTATTCTTTTCTTTCTTCAAAGAACTTTTTTCCTTCCACTAGAGTTAAGAAAGAAAAAGTCAGCAATGATACATGTGTTGCTTGAGCTAAAAGGCATAGGAAAACAGACAACACATACCAATTATATTTCTAGGAAATACAAAGTAAAAAGAGAAAATCTTTCTTTTTTTAATGCGCTTTTGAAAAGATAAAAGCTTTAGGTAAGTTGGAAGTCTGTACAAAGAAGCTGGATTTGCTGCTCTCCAAGATGTGAAGGGACCTGCTATGTAATATACAGAAATCATTTACTGCCTGAAAAGTTGTAAGAATATAACTTGAGCCTTGCTAAAGCTTCATATTCCTGAGGGCATCTAAAATGCCAATCTATGGAACAGGCACTTATTTCTTCTACTCCTCTCCATTCATGTCCTAGTTTTCATGGACTTCTGGCTGATGTCACAGATAGGCCAAGAGGCTATCCATCCAAGCTTCACCCTGTTCTGCCAGAAGTAGGTCTGCAGGCTGGTCCTCTTCTCCTGGGCTTCCTTTGCCACTTGAGTGCTGCGGTTACTTTGAGATTCCAGGGCTGTGGTTTCCTTGGCCTGGACCTCTTTCTCCCTCTGCAGGTGGTACTGTTAAGTTTCACCCTCAGCTGCTGCTTTGATCTGCTTCAGCCTCTGGGTCTTTTGCTAACGGCCCTTGGATTCCTTCTCAGTGGCACATTTCTCAGCCTGTAGCAGCTGCCGGGTCCCCTGAGACTGATTGGCCATGGCGGCGGTGACTCTGAGACTGAGGCAAGCAGCCTGAATCAGCTGAAAGGTGCATTGGGTCAGCTTAGCCGGCTGCCCACAATTTGTGCCTCAGTATTTTTTTGTTGGTTGATTTTTTAAAAAAAAGTTGTTTATTTTTTCAGACAGAGTTTCGTTTTATTGACCAGGCTGGAGTACAGTGGTATGATTTTGGCTCAGTGCAACCTTTGCCTCCTGGGTTCAAGTGATTCTCATGCCTCTTGAGTGGCTGGGATTACAGGTACATGCCACCATGTTTGGTTAATTTTTGTATTTTTAGTAGAGATGAGGTTTCACCATGTTGGCCAGGCTGGTCTCAAACTCCTGGCCTCAAACGATCTGCCCGCCTTAGCCTCCCAAGTTTTGGTATTACAGTTGTGAGCCACTATGCCCAACCTATTTATTTTTGAGATAAGATCTTCCTGTGTCATCCAGACTGGGTGTGAGCACCCTCCAGTTCTTGGCCTCAAGCAGTCCTCCCAGCTCAGCCTCTGGAGTAGTTGGGACTACAGGTGCATACCACCATGCTTGGCGAGGGGGGTGTGTGTGTGTGTGTGTGTGTGTGTGTGTGTGTGTGTGTGCGTGCGCGCGCGTGCGCATGTGTGTATACAAGAGTCTTGCAGTGTTGCCCAGGCTCTTGCAATGTTGCCCAGGCTGGTCTGGCCTCAAGCAATCTTCCGTCTCAAGCGATCTTCCTGCCTTTTGCCTTGACCCCCCAAAGTGCTGGGATTACAGGAATGCACTTCTGTGCCTGGTCAATTCTTTTTTTTTTTTTTTTTTTTTTTTTGAGGCGGAGTTTCGCTCTTGTTACCCAGGCTGGAGTGCAATGGCGCGATCTCGGCTCACCGCAACCTCCGCCTCCTGGGTTCAGGCAATTCTCCTGCCTCAGCCTCCTGAGTAGCTGGGATTACAGGCACGTGCCACCATGCCCAGCTAATTTTTTTTATTTTTAGTAGAGACGGGGTTTCACCATGTTGACCAGGATGGTCTCGATCTCTCGACCTCGTGATCCACCCGTCTCGGCCTCCCAAAGTGCTGGGATTACAGGCTTGAGCCACCGCGCCCGGCAATTTTTTTTTTTTTTTTAATGATGACCAAATATATACATTTTATAATTGGGAAATTTATAATTAGAAAATTTAGTTTATGGAGGAAAATTTCATTTTTCTATCTGTCACAGAAATATGATGATCTACTTTGTATGCTTGTTTGAGTGCTTGAAAGAGTAAATTGATGTGTCTTTAGGAAAAGCATTTTAAAAATACTTGTACTGTAATTGTAAGATGGTGGTAATATTGTGGCCACTACTTCTGTTTCATTATTAACCAGTTAATAAATAAACACCTTGTTTTTTTAGAGAGGACATGTACTCCCAGGATTCCATAGATCTTCTTGCTAACTCAGGACTGCAGTTTCAGAAGCATGAAGAGGAGGGGATTGACACACTGCACTTTGCAGAGCTGCTTATGACATCAGGAGTGGTTCTATGCGACAATGTCAAATGGCTTTCATTTCATAGGTCAGTCTTCGGGAATGTGTATTTCTCTCTCACTTTGGGCTGCACTTGAGCAGGGAATTTAATTCTTTTTTTTTGTTGTTGTTTTTTTGGTTTTTTGTTTTGAGATGGAGTTTCGCTCTTGTTACCCAGGCTGGAGTGCAATGGCGCGATCTCGGCCCACCGCAACCTCCGCCTCCTGGGCTCAGGCAATTCTCCTGCCTCAGCCTCCTCTGAGTAGCTGGGATTACAGGCATGCGCCACCACGCCCAGCTAGTTTTTTGTATTTTTAGTAGAGACGGGGTTTCACCATGTTGACCAGGATGGTCTTGATCTCTCGACCTCGTGATCCACCCGCCTCGGCCTCCCAAAGTGCTGGGATTACAGGCTTGAGCCACCGCGCCCGGCGGGAATTTAATTCTTATTTTTTGAAGTCTTATTTCTTGACATTATTTTTGAAGTCCTAGTGACTGTTCTGTTGATCAGCAGCAGTCAGAAGTTGAATTGGTACTTGTTGCCCATGTTTCAGGTTTTCAGAAAACACTGGGGCTCGTACTGGTTTACTTCACACAGTATTTGGCTCTGTCATGTGGTTGTCAGTGGGTTTAATTCCAAATGAGAGTATGGAGGGTGGAGAGGGCCACAGCACTTGGTTATCTTTTAAGTGGCCATCCTGGAGTTTCTTAGGTACCTGAAAGCCAGATTCTCCTTATTTTACCTTCTGAGTACTTTTGGATTTTTGGTGAATTGAATCCACAACTACAAACCCTTGGGTACTTTTTTATATCTCCCATATTAGTCTGTTAGGTTGTTATGAGAAAGTTCAGACTTGGGTACCTTTTTATATCTCCCATATTAGTCTGTTAGGTTGTTATTAGAAAGTTCAGACTATAGGCTGGGCACGGTGGCTCACATCTGTAATCCCACCACCTTGGGAGGTTGAGGTGGGTGGATCACCTGAGGTCAGGAGGTCAAGAGCAGCCTGGCCACCATGGTGAAAACCCTGTCTCTACTAAAAATACAAAAATTAGCCAGGCATAGTGGCAGGCACCTGTAGTCCCAGCTACTTGGGAGGTTGAGGCAGGAAGAATTGCTTGAACCCAGGAGGCAGAGGTTGCAATGAGCCGAGATCGTGCCACTGCACTTCATCCTGGGTAGCAGAGCAAGACTATGTTTAAAAAAAAAAAAAAAGTTGAGATTATAGTATGATAAACTATTCAGGAAACGTGAAAGTTTCTGACATGAAGTAGCTTTGAGAAACAAAATGGTTGAACGCGGGGGCCTGATAACTGCTGCTTTTCTAACCTCTGTGGCTTATTCTCTCCTTGTAGTGGCTATGATTTTGGCTATATGGTAAAGTTGCTTACAGATTCTCGTTTGCCAGAAGAGGAACATGAATTCTTTCATATTCTGAATCTCTTCTTCCCATCCATTTATGATGTGAAATACCTAATGAAGAGTTGCAAAAATCTTAAGGTATATGTAATTTTTTTAATGCCAGAAATAAAAATAAGGACAGAAAAAAAGCTGACTGACTTTGCTTTATTGCTATGTATTCAGCATGCATTACTGAGTACTAGATGCCAGTGTGGTGGTGGACAGGGTATAGTAGAAAGCCGATCTCACAGATATTTGTGTGGTCACAATCCTTAACCTGGCCATGAAGGGAACCATCTGCTTCTGTTATCCTAAGGCAGGCATTCTTCACTTGAGCCCCATGAACCTAGTGAAAAGGTATAAATGCAGTTTGTTAGGGGTGGGGTCTGTGGTGTAACAGATTCTCAGAGGGGTTTTTTAACCCTAGAAGGTTTTAGAACTTGGTACCCTAATAAATTGTTGCCATAGAGCTTTGCTGTCTAGAATTAGAGTGGGATTTGCTGTTTCCTCAACCTTGCAGCTTTGATTTTAAAGGCAGAGATCTGGCAAAATTAACAACATAGAAAGGAAAGGAGGAAAACGTAGAATGTAGCACAATATATCATTTGGAAAAAGGGAAGAAAAGAGCGAAAAAGAGGAAACTAAGGCCTGCTAAGTAAGTGGGCTCTCCCCACTTCTTGCCGGAATTTACTGAACTCATAACTGGACTTAGTTGACTCCAGTGGAGACGTGTTGGGTCTCTAATATTACCTTTGTTTTCCTTACATCTGCAGGGAGGTCTTCAGGAAGTTGCTGATCAGTTGGATTTGCAGAGGATTGGAAGGCAGCACCAGGCAGGCTCAGACTCACTGCTGACAGGAATGGCTTTCTTCAGGATGAAAGAGGTAAGCTTCCTTGAATGTGATCAGGGACCTCTTGGTAGTAATTTGCTGAAGGCTAAGAAGTTAGTGGTGGATGGTCTGTGTGGGCTGAGGTTTGTTGAACTTTTTTTTTTTTGAGATGAAGTCTCACTCTGTCGCTCAGGCTGGAGTGCACTGGTCTCAGCTCATTGCAACCTCTGCCTCCTGAGTTTAAGTTATTCTTGTGCCTCAGCCTCCCAAGTAGCTGGGATTACAGGTGCCTGCCACCACGCCTGGCTAATTTTTTGTATTTTTAGTAGAGACGGGGTTTCACAATCTTGGCCAGGCTGATCCTGGAACTCCTGATCTTGTGATCCATCCGCCTCTGCCTCCCAAAGTGCTGGATTACAGGCGTGAGCCACTGTGCCCAGCCGAGCCTTTCTTTACTATTAGGTTTTTTTTTTTTTTCTAGTTTGTGATATTTTCAAGGCTTTAGGAAGGCTGGGAGGTGCTGATGTGGTAGTGTTTTTTTGTTGTTGTTGTTGTTGTTTTTTTTTTCTGAAACGGAGTTTCACTCTTGTTACCCAGGCTGGAGTGCAATGGCGCGATCTCGGCTCACCGCAACCTCCGCCTCCTGGGTTCAGGCAATTCTCCTGCCTCAGCCTCCCGAGTAGCTGGGATTACAGGCACGCGCCACCATGCCCAGCTAATTTTTTGTATTTTTAGTAGAGACGGGGTTTCACCATGTTGACCAGGATGGTCTCGATTTCTCGACCTCGTGATCCACCCGCCTCGGCCTCCCAAAGTGCTGGGATTACAGGCTTGAGCCACCGCGCCCGGCTTTTTTTTTCTTTTTTAAGACGAGTCTCACTGTTGCCCAGGCTGGAGTGCAATGGCCCAATTTTGGCTCACTGCAACCTCTGCTTCTTGGGTGCAAGTGATTCTTCCACCTCAGCCTCCCAAATAGCTGAGATTACAGGCATGTGCTACTATGCCTGGTTAATTTTTGTATTTTCAGTAGAGATGGAGTTTCACTCCCGGCTGGTCTTGACCTCCTAACCCCAAGTGATCTGCCCAACTTAGCCTCACAAAGGACTTGGATTAAAGGTGTGAGCCACTGCACCTGGCCAGACGTGATAGTGTTTATACTTGTCATGACTCATGGTTCTCTGTCCCATTCTGCAGTTGTTTTTTGAGGACAGCATTGATGACGCCAAATACTGTGGGCGGCTCTATGGCTTAGGCACAGGAGTGGCCCAGAAGCAGAATGAGGACGTGGACTCTGCGCAGGAGAAGATGAGCATCCTGGCGATCATCAACAACATGCAGCAGTGACGGTACCAGGCTCTGCGGGGCGGGCCTCAGCCCAGATTGGTGCTTACTGTGCTGACTGTGTACTTACCTTCCCCAAGAGAAAATGCTTCTTTTGAGCAAACTGTACCTACCATCTGCACTGAGCAGAAAGACTTGTTTTACCGAAGACAAAAGATGTCTTTATTTTAGATCCAGAAGAGAGGAGTTTGCTCTGAATTTGTAAACAAGTCTTCCCTGTTCCTCATCCCCAGGTCTCTCCTCTCCGGTTGCCTCTTGCCACCAGCATCCATGGCTCATTTGACACCTTTTTAAATATCCAGGACAAGTCTGAAACAAACTAGTAAAATGTATATAACTCTTACCTGTTGTCATTCTTTTTTTAAAAAATTTGTTGCTACTCTGATAATGAAGATTCTTGCTCTGATTCTCAGCTGAGCTGAGGGCTTCCAGGGAAAATGGAACAAAATGGTGTTCTCATGTAATGAGTTACAGATACTGTCTTCCTTTCCTTTTCTAACCCTTCTTGAAGACATTTGCTTTCCTCACACTTCATAGTCTTTCTTTACTTATTACTATATGGAAATGAATTGCTCAGTGCTGAAATTTGAAGACCAGATAATGAAACATAAAAGCAAACAATTTGCTGAATCTGTCTACCCTTCATTATGAGAACTCCAGAATGAATGTTGACCACTGAAGCGTCTTTAAGTCTGTGTGTTCCTTTGTGCCACTGAGGCTTGCTGTCACATATACGTCATCTGAAGTCATCTGAAATTTTTGTATAATATCCTGGATTTGATCCTGAAGGAAACTAGTTAAGATCAGATTTTTGGGTCGTGTCTGTTGTACTTTCAATAATGTGATTTCAGCTGGTCATCTGGATTCTCCCACTTCTCCATTTTCCCTGCTTTTCCTTCCAGCAAACCTGAAACGTTAGGGAGATGGATTAATGTGAGTACCAGGAATATGTCTTTAAAAAGGTAGAGTAGTTACATGTAAACAGGCAGGAAGATAATTTGGGTTCTTGAGTTGTTTTGCAGTAATATCCCACAACTGGGGTAGGAAGCTCAGGACTTTTTTTTTTTTTTTTTTTTTTTTTTTTTTTTTTTTTAAAGCTAGTCATTTAAAAAGTATACTGTATTTTTTTGATTGACTACAGTATGGACAATTTCAAAAAACCAAAACCCCTTTTGGATTGGTAGAAATAAAAACTGGTAACTCGCTGAAGTGAATGAATGGTTTTGCATTTTAGCTTATGGAAAACTCAATTTGAAATGATTAAAAAATGTCAAGTATTATAAGCTGGTATTTAAGATGATTGTAAATATTATTTATGTTTTTAATTTTGTAAAATAAAGATTTCTTTTTAACCACTGGCATTAAGGTTTGGTCTTTCGTAGCTATGGACTGCTAACTCTGGAAGATGGTCATTTGCCATCAGTGACATGAGCATCTTGCCTTCATTGTTCCCAAGTTGGCTTACTTACAAAATAGCACTTGGTAGGAAGCTTTTCATGAGCACCTGTGTAAATGGAATTGCCTCTTCATACTAAGACCCAGATTGTTGGGTCTTTATAGATTAAACCAGTATTTTTTGGGGTCACTCCATTATATGTGGTGGATCAGCTTGTTAATTAGTGGGATTCTTTTAAACAACCTGAACTTCAGCTATCCTACAGTCGGCTCAAGACTTTGTTTCCACCCATTTCTATTGACACAAGATGTGGGGTTTTAAGGAGTCTAATACAGGGGCAGATAGGGAATTCTGACTGGGAAGTTGACACAGATTTACCAGTATAACTTGTGGTGAAACAGCAGTTAGTGGTTCTCAACGAGGGTGCCCTGGCATGCTGGTGACTGAGCCCTATGCAGATACCTTCCAAATTTAAATAACAGGTTTTAATATTTTCTACAATTGAGGACTTACATGTCAGGAAAAATGCTGAGATAAAGGGCTGAGGAACTCAGTGTTGACTGTGGGGTTTGGTCATTGAATGTGAAAGTTAATTTAGAGTACTGCTTTGGCAAGAAAGAGTACAAGTCTATTAGAACTGGCAAGAACTTGGTATGTATGCGTGCACGTGTGAGTGCCATCCTTAAAAGTGGATGACACTGTAGGGTAACCAAGAGAATAATCTCTGGTGTAATTTTTTTTTTTTTTTTTGATACGGTCTCTCTCTCTCTGTCGTCCAGGCTGGAGTTCAGCGGCACAATCCTGGCTCACTGCAACCTAACCCACCCGAGTACCTGGGACTACAGGCCCATGCCACCACACCCAGCTAATTTTTATATCTTTTAGTAGTGATGGGGGTTTCACCAGTGGGCAAGCTGGTGTCAAATTCCTAACCTCAAGTGATCTGCTTGTCAGGGCCTCCCAAAGTGCTGAGATTACAGGCATGAGCCACCATGCCCGGCTTGTAATTTTTTTTTTTTTTTTTTTTTTTTTTTTGAGATGGCGTCTTGCTCCATTGCCCAGACTGGAGTGCAGCTGCACAATCTCGGCTCACTGCAACCTCTGCCTCCCGGATTTATACAACTTTCCTGCCTCAGCCTCAAACATGTGCCACCATGCCTAGCTAATGTTTGTATTTTTAATAGACAGGGTCTCTCCATGTTGGCCAGGCTGGTCTTGAACTCCTGACCTCAGGTGATTTTGAAAGCTTATGGAAAAGTGCTAGGATTACAGGTGTGAGCCACTGTGCCTGGCTGTAATTCACTTTTAAAATTTTATTATTTATAGAGATGGGAGCTTGCTATGTGCTCAGGCTGGCCCTGAACTCTTGGCCCCAAGCAATCCTCCTGCTTCAGCCTTCTTAGTATCCAGGACAGGGTCCCCAAACTTTTTACACAGGGGGCCATTTCACTGTCCCTCAGACTGTTGAAGGCCGGACTATGCAAGGTGTGACACCCTTCACAGCCAGCACTGCTGCCTCCACTATCCCAGACAGCGGTATACAGTGTCACAGGCCCAGCACCGCCTCCAGCGCTGTATACAGGGAAGGCGGTGATCAGCCTGTGACACTGTATACAGCGTCCTGGACATCTGCAGCAGTGGTGGCCTCTTCTGTGGGAAGCCCACTGCTGCACGTTTCCCTATTATAAGACACCTCCTAAAAATAAGACAGCCCCCGTCTTTTGGGGGTAAAATTAATATAAGACAGGGTCTTATAATAGGGGGAACATGGCGTTTGTAGTAATGTTGGGGGAGACTTTTGGGCAAAGGGAGGTTATAGGGGCCATTATGTTGTTGTACATTTGGGGGAGTATGGGGGCCGTTGTACTGTGTAGTAATGGTTACAGTGCTTTGCCTTTCTTCCTACTTCTGCTGTTATTTCACACTGCTTCCGGTGATGTGGGGCACCCGCAGCCGCAGACCAGATGTGCATCACATGACGTGCTTCTGGAGCCGTGACGCATGTGTCCCGCATCACCGGAAGTAGTACCGTACGTGAGCGACACCGTGCTTTGCAACGCCGCCACTTACAGTACTCCGGGAGCACAGGATGCAGATGCATCACTTTCATTGGACCACCAGTGAAAGAGGTGCCCCTTCCTCAAGTGGGGGGGGGCGTGGATAAATGGCCTCAGGGGGCCGCATGCGGCCTGCGGGCCGTAGTTTGGGGACCCCTGATCTAGGACTATACGTGTGCACCACAGCACCAGGCAACTGAGCACAATTCAGTTCCTCCATCTATACTGCCAAACATTCTTGAATTCCAGTGTTCTGCTAACCCAAGAAGGGTGACTACCCACCACAAGCCTAGTTGTTAGCCAGTGCTGGTATGAATGAGCTCAGTTCTTATCAGGAGGCAGAGAGTTTGTAAAGGCTGGGGTCAGTCTTGGGTAAACCACGTTCAAGATTTTTATCCAAGAGCAATAGGAAACTACCGAAAGGTTTTTAAACAGGGAATTGATGAACTCTGATTTGTGATTTAGCAGTCACTGCTAACGTGAAGAATGGAGAACGAGGAAGAGCAGATTCACAGAAACATGGGGAGGCCAATGCCGTCATCCGGGTAATGGGATGGTGGTTTGGACTCCTGGGGAGGTTCAGAGACATTAGATTACTTTAGATGGGGATAAAGAACCAAAATAAATTGCGTGTGGGGCACAGTGGCTTATGCCTAAAATCCTAGCACTTTGGGAGGCTGAGGTGGGCAGATCATGACGTCAAGAAATTGAGACTATCCTGGCCAACATGGTAAAACCCCATCTCTACTAAAAATACAAAAATTAGCTGGACATGGTGGCATGTGCCTGTAGTCCCAGCTACTTGAGAGGCTGAGGCGGGAGAATTGCTTGAAGCCGGGAGGTGGAGATTGCAGTGAGCTGAGATTGTGCCACTGCACTCCAGCCTGGTGACAGAGCGAGACCTCATCTCAAAAAAAAAAAAAAAAAAATAATTGCTTTAGTGATACATCCTTTTCACTCAGAAAGTTAACTTGGTGCTTTGGCTCTTTGTGGTTCTGATAATTAGGGAGCTATAAATTAAAAACATTTTTTCAAATTGTGATAGCTTGAGTACATTATACAGTATTGGAAAGAAGAGAGGTCTTTTAAAAATTGACTTTTCAGGCTGGGTGTGGTGACTCACGCCTGTAATCCCAGCACTTTGGGAGGCCAAGGCCAAGGCAGGTGGATCACGAGGTCAGGAGTTTGAGACCAGCCTGGCCAAGATGGTGAAACCCCATCTCTACTAAAAATACAAAAATTAGCCAGGAGTGGTGGCAGGTACCTGTAATCCCAACTATTTAGGAGGCTGAAGCAGGAGAACTGCTTGAACACAGGAGATGGAGGTTGCAGTGAGCCAAGGTCATGCCACTGCACTCTAGGCAGGGCAACAAAGCAAAGCTCTGTCTCAAAAAAAAAAAAAAAAAAAAAAAAAAAAAAAAATGACTTGTCATTTTTATTGCTTAGTTTTCAAACAGTATTTATTTATTTATTTATTGAGATGGAGTTTCACTCATTACCCAGGCTGGAGTGCAATGGCGTGATCTCGGCTCACCGCAACCCCTGCCTCCTGGGTTCAGGCAATTCTCCTGCCTCAGCCTCCTGAGTAGCTGGATTACAGGCACGCGCCACCACACCCAGCTAATTTTTTGTGGTTTTACTAGAGACGAGGTTTTGCTATGTTCGCCAGGCTTGTCTCAAACTCCTGTCCTCAAGTGATTCACTTGCCTTGGCCTCCCAAAGTGTTGGGATTACAGGCATTAGCTACAGCACCCGGCCTCAAATAGTAAATCTTGTTCTTACCAAAACAGTAACTGAGGAGCATGCAGGACTCCTCCATCCACAGGTGATGCTTTTGACAGATCATAAAGGAATTTAGAATCCTAGTTGACGATACTGCTGTTTACTCAA